CCCATGTTCATCTTCGAGTCAATGATGACTCCAAGATCCTTTTCTGCCTCTGTACTGACAAGAAGGGAGTTCCCCAGCCTGTAGCTATGGTGCCGGTTGTTCCTCCCCAGGTGCATCACTTTGCACTTGTCAGTGTTGAATCCCATCCTGTTCTCATACGCCCACCCTTGTAACCTGTCTAGGTTCAACTGTAGCCTATTGCTCCCTTCTAGAGTGCCCACATCCCCCCACATCTTAGTGTCATCAGCAAATTTGAACAATGTGCTTTTTACCCCCTCATCCAAGTCACTGATGAAGATATTGAACAGTGCGGGCCTGAGGACCGAACCCTGGGAGACCCCACTGCCCACATCCCTACAGGCTGAAAATGACCCATCCACTACCACCCTCTGGGTAAGGCCCTCCAGCCAGTTGGCAACCCAATTGACTGTGTGGGCGTCGACACCACAGTCCCCCAGTTTCTTAATGAGAACGGGGTGAGAGACAGTGTCGAAGGCCTTCTGAAAGTCCAGGAAGACTATGTCCACTGCTAGCCCTGCATCTAATGATTTGGTTATCTGATCATAGAAGGCCACCAGGTTGGTCTGACAGGACCTGCCACTGATGAACCCGTGTTGGTTGCCCCTAAGCATGAAATCCCCTGCTGGCCCCTCATGGATGTGTGCCAGCATAATTTTCTCGAACAGTTTGCCTAGGATCCAAGTAAGACTAACTGGCCTATAGTTTCCTGGGTCCTCCTTTTTCTCCTTTTTGAAGATGGGAACCACGTTGGCCCTCTTCCAATCCTCTGGCACCACACCAGAGCACCACGAGTGCTCATAAAGCCGTGCCAGGGGTCCTGCAATGACCTCAGCCAATTCCTTTAGTACTCTAGGGTGGAGATCGTCCAGACCAGCTGACTTGAATACATCCAATCCCTCCAGAAGCTCCCTAACTAGTTATGACCACATAGACCAGGGGCAGAGCCTAACCTTCAATTCAGTCACCCTCACTTTCCTGCTCAGGCAAAAGCTTCAGTTTTAACCCTTTCACAGCTGAACTGGCTGCTTTTGGCTGAGCAGGAAAGGAAGAGTGAGTGAGTTGAAGATTAAGCTCTGTCCATGCTCCAATTCATCTGTGAAATAATTAAAATGGTAGCATCTACTGAAAACTGGACCCTGCCCCTCCCTTCTTGTATGGTAAGGAAGCAAGAAAAGCAGCAGCAGAAGCCATCTTACAGTGTCTCCATGCTTCTGTTCTGGATAGAAAGTCAGCTTCCCTGCTTATGACACACACTTTAACAGTAATTCTTTTTATTCGGTAAAGACATCTACATTTATTAATCTCTTTTTTTCCATTTCAAGGATATAGAAATGTGCTGAATTATACATGCAGTGCCTGTCTGATGATTTACTAATTCTAACTATAAATTTAAAAGGTAAGAAGTGTCTGACTTTTGGATATCTACACAGAATGGAATAAGAGCAAGCAGCACAGGATGGGTGCTGCAGAGCTTACATGAAGATAAGGACAGGTAACAGCTTCCAACACTTCCATCTCTCTCTCCCCTTCACATCAACTATGAACAGACATTCATTTGAAATGGTAAGAATTTCAGGGGGATTTGCAGCACCACAAAGCTAGCATGAAATGCACATCCAGACACTCAAGTCCTGGTTGTATGGAGCAGGGCAGAGCATGACAAGAGCATGTACACCACAGGCACTCTACAGCCAGGGGGCTGGCATGAAGCAATCCCATGATGCTTTACAGAGGCCTCCATCTGTGCAGGACAGCTGAATGCAGAGGAAAATGCCTATTAGCTGGCTGTCCAGGGAACCAGTCCCCCATCCCATCCCCTCCCCTCCCACCCTGCCACACTTGGGAGTACAGAGCTACAGGACACGTGTTCAGTTTCCACTACATGCCCCGTGGCTGCCATTTCAGCAGTGCTGGCAGGTTCAGTGCATGCTGTACTCCTGCCGGCACAGAGTCAAGGCCTACCCCTGGGAGGTCAGCAACAGAAGGGAGGTTCTGACACAGGCTCCACTTCAGGAAGGGGGCCCTGCGGACTGTCCCTTACCCCAAACAAGACCTTTCCAAATTAGAGCAGCTGATCACCATGCAAAGCACACTTGCACCTCCTGGCTGTGCCACCTGTAGCACCACCTCAGGTGGGGCTCTGATGCTCCCTCTGCTTCAGGAAAGAAGCTGAAGAGTCTCCCCTTCACCCCAACCATGATTTATCACTTGTAGAAGCAAAAGAGCTCACCTTCCTGAAGTACCCAGACACAAGTTCCACCACCTACAGTTTCCTGTTCTGCACCCTTCCTCTTGACTTGTAGGTAATGCCAAAGATGCTGACACAACAGGGACAGAGGTTTTTGGCATAGCCGGAGAATTAGGGTTTTTAGACAGGAAGGATTTTATCCTGTTCACAAAGAAAGACAGACCTGGAAAACAAATCTGCATGGTGACTTGTGAACCTGACTCCTCCTACCTGGGGCAGTCGAGTTTTGCACGACAGACAAAATCCCTGGAGCTGTACGTGTGTGCATGTGCACATGGGAGGAGCAGGGGGGAAAGAGGGAGGGTGGCTGGAGGTACATGGGGGAGATAGGAGCAAAGCCTTCTGGGATACTGGAGGACCATACCATGCCCCGTGGTGCACCTGTAAGTGCAAAGGCATTACTAGGTGGTGCTAGAAATTGAAGCAGTGCGAAAAGTTACTGTTGGAAGAGCTACTATTTCATCATGGACCCACCATGTATTTTTCCATAAAAAACTACCTGAATTGCTGTATGTTTGCTTTTTTGCCATGCTAAATGAATGTATTTCTTGATACAAATGAAGAAATGACCTGTCCACTGTCATTAGCAGACCCTAACAGACTGCAGGGACTAATGATGACTTTAAACTGGAACCTGAAGGGTAAGTTACCAAGGGTTGCAAGTAGTCTTACTACATGAATCCTGTGAACATAAAACACCATATAACAATTTGAAAAATTACCTTCAAATGCTAATGAACTTCATTCAGACAGCAGCTCTCTCTCAAACCTGAATCAAAAGATTCTGGATTTGAGACTAGCCTTAAAGCTCAGCTCACCCATTATCCAATGCCATAGAGAAACCAGCCTTCTGATGACAGTCCTGTTCTTCTGCATTATTTTTAAATCTCTTGTCTTACGACCTGTCAGAAAGACCCTGAGAGGTGGCCTGTGTTATTGTTGTGTCTGTGGTGCTTACTTTAAAAGAATCTCTCTTTTAGAACAAAAAAGAGGAGGAAATTGACCTCCTCTGAAGGTCACAGGATCAGATACTGATTATCCTTCATGATCTCTGTGAATATCCAAGACAAAACACAATTAAAATGCAACCTAAAGAGGATTTTTTCCTTCTTCACAATGTATAAGGGTACCCTGAAAAAAGGATTACAAGACACAGCTTTGTTTTCTGCCTTAGAAGAATTAGTAATATTAAATCCATTCTTCCTTTAAGTACCATTAGAGAGGGTCTCACAGCTTATTTATTTTAAACTGTTGTAGATCAAGGGCTGGCATTATCTCTCTAACAAAGTTTCCCAGGAGAAACTACAAGTATACAAAGGTTTAGAATTTTTGTCCAAGATCAAAAATGGTCACGCCAGGAGAAAAACATCCCGGGAACAACCAGGGTTAAATCACTTCCAAGAGCTTCTCCTAGGAGAACGAATGTTGTATACATTCTCTTCCAGAAGAAGCCACAGCACAGTCCTCCAGCATCCCAGATTGAACAGTGTCCCCCTGGCTGTGCAGCATCAGCACTGCAAGCTCTCTGTTGTTCAGGGGTTCAGCATTCAAATATCTATTCAGGCATCTCTGGGTAAATTTTTCTACCAGGAAAATAAACCCAGGAGAATTCTCCTAGATCATTTGTACCTATGTACACAGCCAAAGGCTTCTCTTTTTGCAAACATGGATTACCTATTGCAACTAAACAGGTATTAACATTTTTCAATGATAAACTACCAAAAAAAAATCCCTTCTTCTGCACCATTGATGAAACCTATACTTTCATAGCTTCTCTGGTATCATCATTTGCATAAGTTTTTCAGTCATCAAAAACAAACTAGAACTACACTACATTTTTTATTAAAAAGCAAGTCAAACCCTCAGGCCTACTTTAGAAATCATAAATCTGGAAAAGACAGAAGCCCAGTGCTTTCCCCTTTGCAGATAAATTCTAAGTTTACTGTTACTATATCATATAACATCAACATAATCCAAACAAGAGCAACAAATTAATAACCCAAACAAAAACCCTTACTGCCTCTATCGGTGTTTAAATATCCCACGACAAGTCGCTCCTCTAAAATCTTATGTTGTTGCTGGATTCTATCAGTTTATGCAAGAACTAAAATGAAAGAGCAATTATTTCCTATTCTACAAAAATAGGTCTTTAATGTAGCTATCCCCAATTCCCTAATATATATTTTTTCAAACCAAATAATGGTTTCCCCACAGATTTAGACAATTTTGTAAAGAGTCTACATTCATTACAGAAAGTAATAGTAGAA